CCACAATATACGCCGAAATGCTCATGGGTTATCCAAAACCAAATCCGGACACACGCCCAAGTCCGAAATTATCATACGTACATGCTGGAACTTTCAGATCACAATTCCGAGGTCGTTTACTCAAAATTCTAATCCTAGTTCATTTCTTCAATTTTAAGCTTTCAAAATAAGAATTTCTATTTAGATTTGACTCCAAACTTCCTGAATTTTAATTCTGACCGTACACACAAGTCAATATACCTGAGATGAAGCCGCTCATGGCCTCAAACTGTTGAATGACGCGTCGGAGCTCAAAACGACCGGTCGGGTCGTTACAGACATCTCATATCTCTTGGTGATATTACCTGTTCTCTGACACCTATCACATTGTGCTACATATGCTCGGGCATCTTTAAAGAGTGTGGGCCAGAAGAATCCGACTTCTAAAACTTTAAAAGTTGTTCGATTTGTTGCATAATGTCCTCCAATTGCTCCATCATGACAGTGATATAGAATTTTATTCATCTCTTCTTTAGGTACACACCTTCTAATGATATTATCTGCACAATTTTTGAACAAGTAAGGTTCATCCCACAGATAATACTTTGCATCAGATATAAGCTTTTTTCTTTGCTGGTAAGAGTAATCTTGTGGTATCCACTTTCCAACCAAGTAATTCGCGATATCTGTAAACTAGGGTGGTTGAGTCACAATTGTGTCAACTGAAAAAATATGTTCATCAGGAAATTCTTCTTTTATCTCATTAAACTCAAGATGAGGATTTTCTAATCTAGACAAATGGTCAGCTACTTAGTTCTCTGTCCCTTTTTGTCCTTTATCTCAAGTTAAATTCTTGCAGAAGTAAAATCCATCTTAATAATCTAGGTCGAGTATCCTTCTTAGCTAAGAGATATTTTAAAGCTGCATGATTAGTAAAAACAGTGACTTTGGTTCCTATCAAATAGGAGCGAAACTTATCAAAAGCAAACACTATTGCTAGTAACTCTTTTTCTATCGTGGCATAATTCACTTGTGTCTCACTCAATATCCTACTAGCATAGTAAATGGGACGAAAAATCTTATCCCTTATTTGGCCTAAAGAAGCTCCAACTGTTGTATTACTAGCATCACACATGACCTCAAAAGGTTGGTTCCAATCAGAGGACACAACTACAGGTGCAGTTGATAACTTTTCCTTAAGGGTTTCAAATGTTTTTACATAGTCACCTGAAAAATCAAACTTAGTGTCTTTCATCAAGAGGTTAGTCAGCGGTTTTGAAATCTTTGAGAAGTCTTTTATGAATCGTCTATAAAACCTGCATGACCTAGAAAGCTTCTAATTCCTTTCACAGTTGTGGGAGGGGGTAATCTTGCTATAAGATTAATTTTTGCCTTATCAACTTATTTTATATCCTAAAACAATTCCTTCTGTAACCATAAAATGACATTTTTCCCAATTAAGAACTAAGTTTGTTTCTTCACATCTTTTAAGAACTAAGGTGAAATGGTTAAGACAATCCTTATATGTTTTGCCAAATAGTGTAAAATTATCCACAAAAATTTCAAGAAAATGGTCAGTCATGTCAGCAAAAATTGCCGACATCCAACGCTGAAATGTAGCAGGGGCGTTGCACAGACAAAATAGCATTCTCCTATAGGCATATGTTCCATGAGGGCATGTGAAGGTTGTCTTATCTTGATCTTCTGGTGCAATTGGTATCTGATTATATCCTGAATAGCCATCAAGAAAACAGTAAAAACCATATCCTGTAATTCTTTCCAACATTTGATCAATAAATGGCAAAGGAAAATGATCTTTTCTAGTGACATCATTGAGACGTCTGTAATCAATACAGACTCTCCATCCTGTAACAATCCTGGTAGGTATGAGCTCATTATTTTCATTTTTTATAACTGTCATACCTCCTTTCTTTGGTACTACCTAAACGGGACTTACCCACGGGCTGTCAGAAATGGGGCATATAATACCTGTTGCCAACAGCTTTACGATCTCTTTTTTCACTACTTCCTGCATTGCTGGATTCAATCTTCTTTGCGGCTGGACTATTGGCTTGTAGCTATCCTCCATGAGAATTCTGTGTGTACAAATAGCCAGACTAATTCCTTTAATATCTTCTACAGTCCACCCCAAGCTCCTTTGTGTGCTTTCAATACTTTAATCAAACTATTTTCTTGTTCTGCAGTAAGAGAAGATGAAATAATTACTAGAAATAATTCTTGCTCAAGATAAACATATTTCAAATGAGAAGGCAGAGTTTTGAGTTCAATTTTTGATTGAACCTTTTCGGATTTCATCTCTTCTTCTTCTGAATCTTTGCCAAATATTTCAGCTTCTTTTCTGATGGTGGGATCATCGTCCTGTGTGGTGCCTGATTTGATCAAGCATCTTTCCATTGAATCTGGAATTAATTGNAATTCACTCGATAGCGTGATAATAATAAAATCTTAGCTTCTACATGTATTTCTCTTAGGAATAACTGTTTATTGCTAATACAATTATATTTTGCTCACTAAGAAATAATCAATTAATAACACTCCGCGAGGTTATGTAAAACAATTGATATGTGACTCGTGACAATTAAATTGAAATAATTTTCTAGCCTGAATTGTGCTAAAAGATAGCAAAAACCTCTTGCGATTAATTTTTACTAAAAATCAATAATCTTGCCAACTACAACTCCTCCGTGAGAATTAGAATGGAAGTAAGCAAGATTACAGACTTGGAATGATAGCTTAAAAAGAATTACTCTCACTCTATTATTTTACCCAATAGTTATCGTATATTAATTTTGCTTCGTGAGAATTACAAAATTGACATACAACTAACTTTGGAGAATAAATAGATAGAAGTGATAATAATTAATTAAAACTAATAGTCCAGCACAATATAGAAATATAATTAGAAAGTTTCAGGTCAAGCATGTAGTAAAATGGAGATTAATATTATAACGCTATCGAGCTTCATCAACTATCCCAACAAAAGAGATTACTCCATTATGGAGTATTTAAATCTCACAAAGAAAGAAATTCTTAAAATACTATCAACACTCTTGGAAAATTCAAAGATTACAAGATAAAATGAAATAGATAAAGAGAGAAGTAAAGACCAAAGCTAGAGAAAAGTTGCTAATTAAGCATGTATGATCTCCTCCCCCTTTCAACACAAACATCTTATTTATAGAAATCAAATCTCATAAGGTGTCGCGATGCCTCGTGGTTCTTTTGCCATGATGTGTCGTGCTTCTATTGCCATGATGTGTCGTGCTTCTATTGTCATGATGCCTCGTGCTTCTCTTTTTATTCCTTTATTTGCTTTATCAAGATATTTTTATTTCCTGCAAAATACTATTAGAAAATACAGATAATTGACATATTATATATATATATATATATGTATATATATATATATATTATTTTAAATAATTTATTTTTAAGTATATAATATATGAATATTTTATAGTCATCATTGTTTCATGATGTCGTGCACCAATAATATAAAGAATAAACTTGCAATATTATAAAAAAATAGTAAGATACGGGGTAGAATTATTATATAAAAAGGCACGGCAAAAGTTAAAATGGGATTATTTAATAATAAGAAAGGGTAAGATAAGAGGAAAAAAATAAGGTAACGACACGACCACACCAAATTCATCGTTCCATAAAGTAACACTTTTCGTCGTTACGTAAAGACGAATTTAACGATACGATACAATAAAATTTAAGTAACAATTAAAATAAATATTATAATTTTTTAATATCATATTGAAAGCAACAATACGATACAATACGACAGTTAACAACCATCCAAACAAGTTGTAACTTGTGCTGCCCAATTCCCCTGAACATTCCAAGTTTTCTTCAATCAAATCAAACAAAGTGCCAGCAAAAGACTTCAGTAGTCAACTCAAACATAATTTATACCTGAGTCTTATTTCTTGTTACTAAGTGCGCGTTTGGGCGTAAGAATTGTAAAATTTCGAGGGGGGAATAATTTAAGTGAAAATGATATTTGAAAATTAGAGTTGTGTTTGAACATAAATATAATTTTAGGTTATTTTTGAATTTTTATGAGTGATCTAAAGTAAAAATTTTGAAAAACAGTTTTTTGGAATTTTTCAAATTTTTGAAAAATTCCAAAATACATTTTCAAATGAAAATTAAAAATTTTCTAGCCAAACGCTTATTTCAAAAAAAGTTGAAAACTTTTCGAAAAAGAAGTGAAATTTCTTTTACGCATCTCAATATTAATCTGCATACATGCATTATTTTTGTTGACCTCTTGATAAAAGACAGATAAATTCATCTCTAAATTAATGAGCCCATGATTGTTAGAACAAAAGAGATGTTTTTTTCCCTTAGGTAATTAACTTTCATTTCTCATCGCATTCTCATCGTATTATATTTTATTTGTCAAAATTAGTATGTTGAAGATTATTTACGAGTAGTCAACTACTTCCACAGGTATCGTGAAGAAGTGGATTTTTGCCCTAACGTGCAGCCTTGTAATCTAATAAATAAATTGTAAAATACTTGGAATATTAGTTGATATAATAACCTGAAAGATATAGCAATAACCATCGATAATAGGTGTAAAAAGAACTATATTATAGATCAATATTTAAAATTATTTGAGAGATAAACGAAATTAATTGACTACATAACTTTTTACAACAGTATATTAACAGTGTAAAAATTCTTCAAACGATTCACACGATTTGCATATTAATGCAAATGAATAATCACGAACACAATGTTTATTGTCTATTTACTTTACAAAAGAATAACTCTTAATTGCACACTATACTCTATTTTACACGCAATTTTTTTTTTATTCAAATTTTTAAACATTAAGAAATGAAAGGTAAGCAAATAAAGACATGGCGATACAAGACCAACCTAAAGAAGTAGATGAACTACTGCTTGCCGGGTAACCGCCAGGTAACGGCCGAACCCCACTGTTTCCTCCAATATTTCTTCCACCGTCACCGCCGCCGCCGCCGCCGCCGGGACTTGTTCCTCTACTGTTTGAGCCACCACCTCCCTTTGCTCCGCCACCACCACCTTTGGAACCGCCACCAGATTTTCCACTGCCACTGCCACTGCCACCACCACCTTTGCCTCCACCGCCACTGCCACCACCACCTTTGCCTCCACCGCCACTGCCACCGCCACCGCCACCTCTTCCTCCTCCTCCTCCTCCGCCCCCGCCGCCGCCTGAAGGAGCAACTGCTGATGTTAGGAGGAGAGAAATGATAGAAAGCACTAGAACAATCTTTACGAGGTTCTTCATTCTAATTCATGCAGATTTTTAGTAGTGTAATAATCACGTATTTTACTTAGGAGGAGGCTATTTGTGAGAGAAAGTTTGGACAAGTTGTGGCTTTCGTTCTTTGTTTTATAGTGTAAAAAATGAACAAAAAAATGGAATTTGACAAGTCTTGATCCTAATGTGATTGTGGTTATGTTCGACAAGTGCGTGGTTAGAAGAAAAAAATACTCCAAAAGTTAGAATAAGGGTCTGGTCTTTTTACGTAAAGGAGTGATACAAGTAACTATAATATAAAATCGACATTTCTATTGCACGTTATAGTTTGGAAAAAAACTGGCTAATCAATCAATCGAAAAGATTAAAAGAATAAAATATTGTATGTGGCTTAACCATAGATTTCTTTTATTAAATTGTTTGCTTAAATCTGCTCTGGCAGGAAGATAAGGCTGAAGATGGATTTAGAGCAAACATTTCAATTAGTTATACTACCCTCCGGTCCACTTTAATTGATTTTTGGTTATTTTCATACATATTAAGGAATCCACTTTTTAGCATTAATTAACAATAAAAATTGACCATATTAACCTTAATTTGTTCATCAAAAATATAACAAATACTCCTATACTCTTTACTCCACGGAAAACTTTGGAAAAAAGAAGTTAATTCCTTCTTGATATCACGAAAAAATTTCCTTAAAAAGTCATCTGAAGTTCGAGCACACTTCTATTTATCTTGAAAATATTATTGCTAGAAAATCTTCTTGGATTGAAGGTTCAGCATCAGAAGTTCGAGCACACTTCTATTTATCTTGAAAATATTATTGCTAGAAAATCTTCTTGGATTGAAGGTTCAGCATCAGTGGTCTTGAACTGGCCGGATTCACTATTTATTTTTTCTAGCCGATATATATAAATATACATCGGTTATACAAGGTTATAACTATATCAAACATGGATTATTATACATATGTGATATATTCGCCAACTAAATTTAGTTTAAGGGTTGGGAAGACAGCTATTTGGGTTGATCCCTCTAGGATAACCAAATCAGTCCAATTAATGATTTTTCATCTGACCATTTCTTCATCAGGACTAATTCTAAGTAATGAAATACAACAATAGCAACAACAAACCTAGTGTAATCCTATAAATAGGGTTTGGGGAGGGTAGTGTGTACACAGACCTTACCCCTACCTTATAAAGGTAGAGAGGATGTTTCCGATAGACCCCGACTCAAGGAATTATGGAGATAAGATAAAGCAGCCAAGTAGCAAACAATGGTAACAACAATGTAATATGGTAACGAGCGCGAATGATACAACATGTAATAATAAAGAACCATGACCAAACTCTTTATTGCCTTGTCAGTATACTTCTTCTATACTTGACTCTCATTTTCCTTATTAGGAGTTTGGTTACAGCTTTGGCTTATGCTGCCCAATTCCCCTGAATACTCCAAGTATTTTTTTCAATCAAATTAAACAAAGTGCAAGAAAAATCAGACTTCAGTAGTCAACTTATACATAATTTTTTACCCTTTAATTTGCTGGTTTCCTCTGTTTCAACAATGGGCAGGCAGCTTTTGCTGTTTGCAAAGAATGCTAGACACCAGTTTAGAATATCAATCTAGACATACTTGAGAATGTCAGATACAGAATTGGTATAGAATTCTGGTTGGACTTGGAGTTCCTTGGATAAATCTTGAAAAGCTGATTCATTAACTACACCTGCAAATCATAGCAGCAAAAAGGGTGAAATTCAAAAATAGCCAGATTTAAAGTGGTAATTGAAAAATAGCTACAGTTTCAAATGTAATCGAAATTTAGCCAATTTTCATGTAAAGATAAATCTGAACGAAAACACTGTTCAAAATCTGGAAAATATTCCAGCATAATATATTGGAATTCGAATTTTTTACATGTGAACTTCCAGCATAAGATACTGGAGTTTCAGTATAATATACTGGTCCAGTATAATATGTTGGAAGTTCATACACAGGTGTGTTCCAATCTCCAGTATATTATGCTGGAACTTTCCGTGTGCTGGAGTTATGCTGAAAATTCATACACAGGTGCACCAATCTCTAGTATATTATGTTGGAACTTTCCGTGTTGTAGCAAAATAGTGACTATTTTTCAATGACTTTGCAGCTGGCTATTTTTCAATTACTAGTCCGAAAATTGGCTAGCCCGTGCTATTTTCACCAGCAAAGACAATAATTTTCTTAACAAAGCTATTATTGAAAGTTGAACCAATTATTTTAAAACAAATTGGTAAAAAGGTCAAAATTGCCCCGTTTTATCCGAAATTAAGCAACTTTGCCGGTTCGCCTCCGTTAAGACTTCTGGTGTAGTATTACCCCTGCCGTAAGGAAAAGGTCTCGTTTTTGCACCTAACCCCTACGGGAGCTCAAAGCTAAGGGTAATTTTAAACCTTAATAAAAATTTGAAGGGTAAATTTGGACCCCTTTTTTCGAAGAATTTGGACACGTGGAGTCTGCTCATTTCATGTTGGAGCTCCGTTAATGGCTTTCATGTTGGAGCTCCGTTAATGGCAAGGGCTAATAAGAGACGATTTGCTAACGGTAAGGGTATGAACTATGAATTGACCAAAAGTGTATGAAGAGCAAAATTAAACAATTTCGTATAGTAAAGGGGTAAATTTTGGGCCTTTTCCTGAAAAAATTTGAGGAAATTGAAAGCGTTCATATACCTGAAAAAACAAGGAGAGTTCTACACCCGGCGTTCTGTCCAAATAGAATATCAGTGTCCAATCTGTCGCCCACCATACACATCCTGGATGTAGTGATGTTATACCTGTTGAGTGATAAATGGCACCAATTTAGAATGAAAAGAATTTTGCAACTCTCAAACTCCCATATCTACTCAATGCTAGTACTCTTCCAAACTCATCATTCGACTACGATCTGTGTCACCACCCACAGGCCATCTATTCATAACTAGCTTTCTCAAATAGGTTAATTTACTAGGCTGCATAAAACTTACTTCTGCAATAGAAAGTCCATCAGAAACGTCGATGGCTTCCCAACTACGATAGGCTCTTTTTGGGTTGCTCCGCATACTGCAGCAACCATACATCCCGCACCTACAGTCACAAGCCAAAAAGATCTTTACAAAAGTAGCAAGCTTTTGCAAGAACGCTCGAATTGAAATCACTCTTTATTGATGGACACTAAAATGAAATTCACCAGGCCACTCTTGAAGATCAGTTAAATGTCCCGATGCATCACGGTTGGTCGCAATAAAGAGGCAACCGGGATTCTCACGGATGCAAAGAGCTCCATACCTACATGCAGTCACCACAATGCCATTTCAAGGATCACTTTAGCAGACGGCAAAGATGCCAGAGGTGAATTTGTCTTTCAGATTTGCTTGAAGTACCTCATTTGAAAACATATTTTCCAATTTTCAAAATTATTAGGAAATAGCATTTTTTCATACATTTACTTTACCAAACCCCTTCAATAACACAGACATCAAATAAGAATCAGAAGCTACAATTCAAGTATATCAAAAAGGGAGGCCTAGAAAGAGACATACTGTAGCTTATAAAAGTTGATATATTGGTCAAGTCCAACAACAACAGCTCCAACCTGAAGGTAGAAATAGCATTGTCTGTGCTCAGTAGACAATAATGGAAAAAGAAACCCGTATTAGTTATTAGAAAGGTGTACTTTACGCTCTTATCATGCTCAAAAAGGCAATTTGATTTCAGTTCAGGATTCTTCTTTCCATCTGCCTGCAAGAATGTTCGATTTCAGCTGCAACGCCTAAAAATTATACTCCCTATCTAAAGGGTGTCTATACATATAACAGCACTTTAAAACTCCGAAAATATGTGATGTTCAATTATACTAAATTAAAGAAAGGGGAGAGAGGCTATTGCTGCACAAGTGCTCAGATGAAAAAAAGGATGAAGGGGAGAGAGAGAGAGAGACAGAGAGTTAGAGGGACTACCAGATGTTTCAGACTTCCGATACGTTATTAGGATAAATTATTATTGAAAATTTGATATCAACAAAACGTAATGGGATGACGCCACCACTTAAAGAACCCACAAGATGTTCTTCTAATCCCAACATTATCCAATACCATGACACTACTTACTAAGAATATGAGAGCACAGAGAATCACATACCGGGCCACCTAGTGCTGTAAAACCTGCTAGCTCCAGTTCTTCCAGTATGCCTTCCTCGCCTATTACATAAACCTGCCAAATCAAGTTCAGGTCTAATGAGCCGGGACAATTAGTGAGGAGTTAGACGATAACAAAGTCACATAGACTATGCTTCTGACAAGATGCTTTGGTATGACCTCATTGTGGAATGCTTTTCGGGAAATAAATGAAGATGTAGATAATCTGCATATAAAATTATGGGCAATGACAAAGCTTGTGATATCTTTTTAACTCTGCTGCACACAACCCAGCATCTCCAATTACAAGAAAGAAGTTAATGTGAAAATTGGGAAATATATTGAAATTTGAAAAGAAACAACCAGACTAATTAATATTTTGGACTTTGAGATAGAAATGACAAGACCACAATCACGCACTATACAAGATACAACAAGAATTCCTATGCAACAATGAACTACAAAACTTAGAAACTCTCGTTGTCTAACATGTGCAGAAAGTGATAGAGTACAAAGGAAAAATACTAGCACGTCGGCAACAAAATAGTGCATAATGCTTGGGATCTCAACTTTGCCACTTACTGGTGATGTTACAAGCAGGTTAATGGTGTTAGCTAACCCCATTGGACTCTTCCAGTTTAGTTTAGGAGATTCGGCTTACAAAGTCTAAAATTCATTAAAAAGTTTCAGATCATAAATCACAATGCCTTTGCGGGTTCATTTCCCAAACATTTTGGTGTAAATAAAGAAATTATCATTATGAAGACGTAAGATCACATCATACATAAAATTATAAAGATGGTGGCACAAGTAAATGAATCCTTTAAATCATTTTTATCAGTGCATTTCGACCTTTTTGTCCTTTCTTAAATATTTCGCCAAATTCAATAGGGGTAAGATTCTTTTTAACATGAATATTGGAAATTTGTATCCAAATTTGTTATTATGTATAATTAATCTATCCACTTATCTAGTTCTACTAGATTCCTAACTTTTGTACCTTACATTTTTCTTTCTCTTTTGGTTTAATTGCACTTTGTTTAGATGAACAAAACTACCTTTACTAAAAAATGAATGAAATTACAAAGGTTTTCCATCCGATGGAACAAAGGTTATTGAGACTTCAACAGTAACATTAGGAACAACACTAATGTTTAGTTTGGAATCTGGTCTCTAAATTGTGGGAGGCAAAAAATATAGTTGCGCAATTTTGCCACTTGGAGCCTCATTAATGCTTTGCAACATATTCAAAACCATAAATACGAATCGTCAGTTCATCAGCGGAACTAATCTTTGATTTAAAGAGTACTTCATGTAATTTGTGTAGCAAGTGAAAGTGGATTTCAGAAAACTTTTATCCAAATCATCCAAGGTCTAACATTGCACAACTAGAATGCTACATTCCATATATCGGCAGCCCGGTGCACTAAGCTCCCACTATGCGCAGGGTTCGGGGAAGGGCCGGACCACAAGGGTCTATCATACGCAGGCTTACCCTGCATTTCTGCAAGAGGTTGTTTCCACGGCTCGAACCTCTGACCTCCTGGTCACATGGCAGCAACTTTACCAGTTACGCCAAGGCTCCCCTTCAACATTCCATACATCAGATCATCAAATTTCAAAGTGTTCCCTTCTGATCAGATATTTAGATATCTACCCATATACACTCAGGTGAATACTCATGATAACTAACCTTCTTTTCTATTGGAAAATCATTGACTTTCAGATACATTGCTGCAGCAAATGAGGACGAGAATATCTCATCCTGCAGAAACAACGAAAATTTACTTCTACAAATTGACGAAATGCAGTTTTGGCATTTGTAGTTCTAATAAAACTAGAAATATAAAACCTCATTAACAGGAATTCCAAGGGAATGGAATTTCTCAGCATATTTCCTTCTTGATTTTGTTGAGTTATTTGTTACAAACACCAGCTTCTTACCCTGCAGTTTAACCAACAACATCTCAATCGCAATATACATCATACCCCAGCCAGTTGTATGAGAATACAAAAATCAACATAACACACACATAGTACATGAAACATTAAGCTTAAAACAGTTGTTGTGCATTTGCATCTCAATTCACATTTATGCATACCCACGTGGATAGCCATGTTCTCAAGAAAGAAACTAACTATGCATTTTACCTAATTATAGCACAATGAAGTTTGCCTTAAAAGATAAACTACTGAGTATAGGAACGAAACCAGAATCATTTCCAAGATTTAAACTTAATGAGTTCCACCTTTAAAATTCTCGGCTATGCTTTTAAATTCAGAATCTAAAATTTGTTGAAATTTTGCCCTTTGTCGCATATAAATCTATGTTTTGTATCAAAAATACTGATTCCATTGAACCCGTAGAACTAAGGCTACATCCGCTACAGACTTAAATGGGTCCAAATAGATAGAGGTTTCATAAATAGCCGATTTAAAAATTGTTGTTTCCTTCATTATAGTGTTCCCAATCAGATGCACATCCAAGATTTGAACTTTATGAGTTAGACATCAAAATTCTACCATAGTCCAGTTGATTTGCTAGATTTGAAAATCTATTATTTCTACTTATTTAATTTGAGCTAAAGTTACCAGTTCAAGTAGACCCATAACTTGTACACTAAATCTGCCCCTATTTCCAACAAAACCCCGGGTCCCCATTAATCTTCCTCTTCTATCCTTTTATAAAAAAATTCACAAAATACTCACACAAAAAAGGAAAATGAAGAAAATAATAATAAGGAATTGGAAATACAAGGGAGCGAAGCATGTCAAGTGTCTGGGGAACGCCATCAATCAATTTATCGCCTTTCCAAATTACACCTAAAAAAGGGTAAGAAAAATAAATTTGTAAAAACAATAATCTCTTACATACTAATAAAATATATAAGGTGAGTGATTACCATCGCAATCGAAGAGAAAGGCATCGACAGAATTGACGAGTTCTTTAGCATTCTCAATAGACAGCTGCTGAGAACTTGATTTTGAGATTTCTCCGTTCATCATTCTTGTCTTTGATCAGAAAACCAGAACTCAGCTAATTAATCCACTGGTACAAACTAATTAGTAGGATTTCAGTAATACAGAAATGGAGTAGTAGAATATTTTTATTGGTGTAGAAACACAGTAGATGAATAAAATAGTGCCAATAAGAAAAGGTGAATATGCTGTCTGGTTAATATTCGTGTTTTTATACTTTTAAATTGAAAGGTGGGTAACAGCATTTAACTCCATCCAATTGTGTGATTCTTTTTTCTTTTTTTTTGTCCGAGGGAAAACACACATCCGCTACAGCTTCTCTCACACCTTCCGTCCTTATGGTGAGCACTTTATGCGCACCGATAAACTTTCTCATGTGTAATAGTCTGGAAACCACATAGGAATGTAAACCGTACAGGACTTGACTCAACCCAAAAGATATTGAGCGGGGATTCGATCCAGGTACAGATGACATAACCCTCCAAACTAACCGGGCAACCCTGAATGCTTCAATTGTGTGATTCCATACACGACTAAAAGTTTCCTATTACTTATGTTGGTTACATATACCAGAAACTAGGTGAAGTACTCAAAAGATGAACAAATTAACTCGAATATGGCCAGTGTCAGAAATAAAATAAAAAATATTAGTATAGCGTAGTTAGTATTATAGGAATTTCCACATACAACAATAATAACAACAACAACCACACCTTCTGTACTTATGGTGAGCACTTTGTGCGCACTGATAAACTTTCTCATGTGTAATAGCTTGGAAACCACATAGGAATGTAAACCGTACAGGACTTGACTCAACCCAAAAGACATTGAGCGGGGATTCGATCCAGGTACGGATGACATCACCCTCCAAACTAACCGGGCAACCCCGAATGCTTCAATTGTGTGATTCCATACACGAATAAAAGTTTCCTATTACTTATGTTGGTTACATATACCAGAAACTAGGTGAAGTACTCAAAAGATGAACAATTAACTCGAATATGGCCATTGTCAGAAATAAAATAAAAAAAATTGGTATAGCGTAGTTAGTATTATAGGAATTTCCACATACTATGCGTAAATTCACGTTCACTATCTCCTTCGTTCCCCCTTTCCTTATCTTCTAATATATATTTTTTCGTCTCGGTTTATCTGATGGTGTTTGATTGAAAAGAGTAACATGCTATAAGTGATTATAAAAACATGTTATTAAGGATTTGTTTTCAAATATAAAAAAAATCATTTAATTTAAGAATAGAAAATTAACTTAAATAGTCGCCTATTCTAATACTTAAACTTTAAAGAGCCGACGGATATATAATATATGTATAGTTTATGAATAATGTATGTATAATTGTGTATAATCTATGTATAGTGACTAGAAAAATTAACAGTAAATTCAACCGGCTATTTGTGTAGATTAATAAAAGAGCATAATGTTCAAGAGCCTCTGCGTATTCTAGCCTAAGCTTTCACGAACAACTAGCCCCAAACTTTGCAGTCTTCTCTTTAGAAATTTGGCCCATTTGACTGTGGAAATGACTATTTTTTTCATGAGAAATTTTCATAAAGCACTATCTTTTAGTAGTAATTAGTCATTTATAGATACTATTTGCTATATTACGGATTATAAATACATTTTTTGTGGTTATAAGATGTATTTGATGTATTTAAGCTATTGTATTCATGAATACAGTAGCAAAAATGTATTCATGAAGTGAAACATATGATTACAGTTGGACAGATTATTGTATTCGACTGTATTCACGGCATGAAATAAGGGATTACACTGTTTTTAAAACGGAAAGTGAATCAATTAACATAATAGACTCCTAATATAATCAACAAACTCAATTATAACACACAGAGTTTGTATTTCCAGTTATAAAAAAGATTTTCAACCGAAAAATACCCAAAAAATATAGCAATCTTCAGAGAAATTATATAATACATCTGAATACATAAATTATATTAATTAAAAAAAATTATGAATACATTCATGGCATATAGCGAGATAATGAATATAATGAAATACATAGAATATACAGCGGGATACATTCAAATACAATGAGAAAAAAAGACAGTGAATACAATGAAATACATGGAATACAACGAGATACATTGAATTACAATGAAAAAAAGACAATGAATACAATGAAATACATTGAAATATATTAACAGAACATCAAGTTGCTCAGCCTCAAACTCCATAGTGTTTTTGTTTAAGAACAAACCCTAATTTCTGGTGAATTCGCCGTTCACCGGAAGCCGGTAGTGAGAAACCAACCGGATTAAAAGAGCTAAGGATTTTGAAAGAATCAAAATTGGGCCATCGGGATTTTGAAAGAATCAATATGTCATGGTAATTCTGCTGCTAACACAAACACACCAACTTTATTTCCAGAACAAAGTAATTGGTTTGGTATTTTAGTGACTCGTTTCCCGCGGAGAACGAGCATTGCTTTGGGTTAGATGAAGTTTGCTGCCTTTCCAAGAATGCGAATACCAATTCTACAATTGAACCCCATTACCCAGAAAGCAAAATTGAAACTTCCAAACACTACACTTGTTGTAGAACACGAGGAGAAGAACAAGAAGGCAAGAGGTTCAATGCAATTATCAAGAATTGAAGAAGGCAAAGCATTTTCTTATCGTGGAAAGAGTACAGAAAGATATGAAATATTGACTGAGAAATTGAGTGAGGTGGATCAATGGAGATGGAGAAAGTGAACCTGCTCTGAAGTGGGCTTTGCACAAATCCGGTGGAAGGAGGAGGAGATCGAAAATTTTAATGGGATGTATCAAAGTGGAGAGAGAAAGAAAAAAGTGTAACTGATTAGCGTATTTAGTTGTTTAGGGCTAAGAGGTAATCGAAATTAAATATTTTGCTATAAACCTTAAAAGATATCTATAGAATATAATTTTTTTAAATGATATTTATTTTCAGAAATTCAGTTAAATGTACAAAACACTGATTTGAAAATATTCTTTGGAAAAAAAAAATTATGTCCAAACGGCTCCTAGGTAAAATTGGATTTATGGGAATACAATATGAGTCATAGGGGAATCCAATGTCTCAAGAAAACAAAAAATGTTCATAAACCACACATATAAGACGGCTATTGAGTCAAAGTTTGTTCCTTTTTTGCTGTTAATTTATTTCTTTTTATTAATCTCCCTGAGCATCTCATATTTTATACTAGAAATTTATTAAACAAAATTTATTTATTTTTATGGACGGAATCTGTTGGAAGTATGCTTTCTATTTACGCTTAATTATTTCCACATTTTCCTTCAATTTAAGGTGGGATTCTCCAATTGATTTGCTTTCTTATTCTTTAAAGATTTTTGATATTATTTCCTCTTTTTATCAAAAAAAAAAAAGGAAAAAGAAAAAGATTCTTGATAGGAGGACGATCCACTAATAAAAGAAATACTAATAATTACGCTTCATTTCGAGCAAGTTAAGATTGACTACATAAATATATCGTGACACTTCATTTAAATTCATGTCACACTTAATATTACGCAAAATATATTGTGTCACTTTATTAAACTCATGTCACACTAACATTACGCAAGATATATCGTGTCACTTCATTTAAACTCATATCGCAATAATATTACGCAAAATGAAAATAAAAATAAAAAGAATTACAAGAAAATAAGAACTAATACTACTGGGATGAGAAAGAACCATTTGATGCTTTTCTAAAATATTATCTTATCTTATAAAGTTTGGATTAGTTATATCTAAGAGCGCATAATGCAACTTAATTATTTAATTACTGAGATTTTTGTGGATCTCTTTTCTTTTTCTTAAAGAAACTGTCTAGCTGAACTTGCCTCTATTTATAATTAGTAATTGCTACTTGATATATTTAACTGAATTAATTAGAGTTTATGCACTTCCATTATATTCAAATTCAGCTATTATACCCTTTCAAGAACATCCCTTCTGCTTTTAATTAGTTTATCTTTAATCCAGATTATTACATTCTTCTACTGGCCATTATTAATCTAGAAGTTGCTTTCTTATTTTAATTATATACAGACAATGACTTCTTCTTTTTTCCATATCTTTCTTTCTGTTTATCCTACATGTGTATTTAAGGCGTAACTTTTTTTTTTTTTTTTCAATTGATAGCTCTTGACTGGGATATTTAATGGATAGGTCAACATTGACATTTTATCTCCCTTTTTGATGCATTATTTTTATTCGTTTTAGCAGACTAAGCAGACGGCAGAAAAAAGGGCCTTTATATATATATATATATATATATATACATATATACAAAAATTATATATATTTCTGACTATTATTTTGAAAGCGGCTATACATTATCATTTTCTCATATTCTTATATCATCGAGTCACTTCAAAGCCATTTACATGTAACTTTTATAATATTAAATTTAAAACTTAATAACATAACTTAATATACAAATATTATGATTTGTTTAGATCAAAAAATTTCAAAATATTCTATTTTTATATTTGTTTTCAATCAAATACCATCATTTAAAATGAAATTAAAATATAATATAACAAAATTTCTTATAATATAAAAAATATTTATATAATTTGTCGTAGATCAAATCATAAAAATAACCTCTTACAAAAATATATGGTATAACAACAAATAATAGATTATTACATAGCGAGAACTTAATGCGCCCGGCTAATTATATGTTAGGGTTATGAGTAACCATCAGATCAAGTCAATGCAGTGGACCTCCTTATAGGACCCCAGTTTTCAATTTGGTGAAAAATGTGACCGGCACATTTATTTCCTTGCATTTTTAGTACAAGCTTCTTGAATTCTGTGTTAGGTGACCAATATCCTAATTAGACCCTAACTTTAAAGAAATTAATGGAACTTTTTCTCTCTACTAGACTAGACCAAAATCATTGGCAACTGTGTTTTAGCAATCTCACAAGTAAAAATGACCGTTTTCTGCCATCTAACCAATTAATAAATTATTTTTAAAAAATAAAAATAAGGAATATTCTCTCCATGATATTCCTTTTGCTCCGGGACGAAGCTATAATAGTTTGGATAAATTTAGTAACTTTATTTAGACCTTATATTTTTATTATAAATTTAGTAAATATATAAATATTTAAATGTAATCAATCTATTACGTAACTAAAATAAGTTATAAATTTAATGATAAGTTCATAATCCATAAATTTCCAATTCGAACTCCGTCTCTATTTTCCTCATCTTGTGAAGTTGTTTCCCTCTTTTTTACATAAAAGTACAAAAAGGTAAAAGGAAAGTATGAATGGGGTTGAATGAACATATTTTAGATACGAAAGAATTTAGCTAGTTTTGGACCTAGTTTTGGTTGAAACTTAAAAAAAAAATTGAAGTTTTGTTGAAAAATAATTTTTGGAAGTTGAAGTTGTGTTTGGATATATATATATATATATATATATTACTTTTTTTTTAAAAAAAAAATAAGTTTTGTGATAGAAAAAAAATTAATTTTTTTTTCAAAAACTAGTCATATTCCATAAAAAACAATTTTTTTTTATGTCCAAATGGGATGAATGAACACATTTTAGATAGAAAGAATTTAGTAGTAACGCAAGCAATGATATATAGTTCTTTCATGGAAAGTTCCCCTTCAACTATGTTTGCAAAAGGAAAGTGTTCCTTGAAGCTTTATACTTAATATGATTTTTATTATATTTACCATCATCAAGATTCTTGTTTGACTTTGTGTTTTAAGTCGTCATTAATTAAAATAATATCCACCATTTTATTAACAAATACTCAAGATGTAGACTTGCATTTGCTGCTTCTTGCCACCCATTTATATTTTTACAATTTCTGAATTACCTCATAGGTCCACCCCTTATTAGGGGCGAAGCTATAATGCGGCCAAAAATGATTTAGTTGAACACCCACTAACGAAAAATCATATATTATTTATATATATTTAATTTTGAATAGGTCTTCAACGAAAAAAAATTATATTATACATTGGTCAAATATTACTTTTTATTCATATATATTAAATATTAAATTATCTTAGAGAAAAATTTCTAATTCGCCACTATCATAGCTCATATGTAATGCAAAATTCTGATCGACGGAATTTTAACTAGGAAATGTTGAACAAAAGAACATGGGAACAATTATTTATGGCAATTTCATCTTAAACCATGGACTTTCTTAACTTTTTCAGTATACTAACAAATTAACTATGTGAATATATTTTAATTCCGTTGGAAAAAAGAGAAAAACATGTTTCAACTCCTCTTTTTGTGGGATATTTTTTAATAAAAGTGAAAGTGTAGTGTTCTTTTTAAACCACATAATACAAAGTACAAACAGAGATATTCACAAACCAACAAAAGAATTAATAATAAAATGAATTAATCATTAAAAGTTTTTCCTTTTTTTCTTATAACTGCAAAATAGATAAAGGATAAAGTTGTTGTCCAAACAAAAAAAGTCGTCCTTTTTGGACGCAGTCCTCCACAAGAAACAGCCAAATTTCATAGTGAAAGCAAAAGAAGAAAGCCTCTAAATGAGGCAAAAGAGCTTAAACTATAACGTACAAGCTATTAAAGAAGTGGTTATCTTAATAGCAGCTATAATATTTTTGGAATACTTTGTTTATTTTAAGGAAAATACAAAAAGAAAAAAGAAAAAAGAAAAAAGAAAAAGTCAGGCTAAATTCATACGCGCAATTGCAACTCTTTCCTTTTTGTTATTATGATGATTCGGATCAACTTTTGTGGCTTTTTAAAAAAAATGTATTTGCTATTTATCATTAGTATAAGTATGAAATAATTCTGTCCAAAGCTTATAACTCGTTTGGATAATTGTTATGTATTGTTTCATAATGTGTCCTATAGTATTATATTGTATTGTATTATTTTGGTGTATACATTGTTTGAATATATTATATTGTTTGCAATCGTTTCATGGTGTCGACAATATGAATAATAAACTTGTAATATTATAAAAAAGAAGAAGTAAGGTACGGGATATAATTATTATATAAAAAGATAGGGTAAAAACATAACAACAACAACAACAACCACCCACTTTAATCTCACAAGTAGAGTCTGGGGAGGGTAAGATGTACGCAACCTTTCCCCTATCCTGGAAGGGCAGAAAGACTGTTTCCGATAGACTCTCGACTAAAGAAGGTAAAAGAAGCTCTGATAGCAAGTAATAACAAGACAAATAATTAAAAAAACTAAATCGAAGATAGCAACAGAGAATATGAAAGAGTTACCAATAACAAGTAATAGCAAGATAATATATTTAGAGGATAAAAGCATAAAATAAGATTATTTAATAATACGGAAGGACAAAATGAGATTAAAAAAAAAAGATAATGATGAGACCATACCAAATTGGTTGTTCCATAAAGTAATACTTTTTGTGTTACGTAATGACGGACTTAACAATACGATACAATAAATTTAAGTAATAATTAAAACAAATATTATATTTAATGTAATAATATGATATAATAATTAAAAAATTACTTAATTTTATAATCTCTATTAAGATGAACTCAAAACCTCGTAATTTTTCGCTCACTTCATTGATTGAGCAATTGCAACTTGAAAATAGCATTTTTAGAAAACTCAGTTTATTATTATTTTTTTTCTTCTTTTATTATTTAGTCATCCTTCTCTCTCTCCTTCTCTCTCTCCTCTCTTCCATCTTCCTTCCCTCCAATCTCCATCTCTCCTAAAAATCTAACATTTCTGGGTCAGGGTCTCTTTCATATTAAACAGCCATTGCTATATTTTATTTTCTTCAGTTTTTTCTTTTGTAGAGTTTTTTCATCTAAAAATCCAATCTTTGGTCCATTTCTGTATCTGGGGTATTCCCATATTTTGCCTTTGTAATATTTTCTTTTGAATTTGATCCCTTTCATTGTCTTTTCATATAAAAATCCAATCTTGGTCCTTTTCTCTTGTTTTTATTCTTCTTACTCTGAAAATTTGGAGTTTTTTTGACAAATTATAACAACCATTTTGGTGTTTTTTGTAGTATAATATATATCAAAATTTGTTACTTCTCAACACCCATTGACCTAGAAAAGTCAATTCTTATTAATTTGCAGCCTTTTGCAAATGTTTTATGATAACCCATATTTCTTTGGTTAATTGAACTTATACCATTCTTGATCACACATTTGTATTCAATAAAAATTTGATCTTTTCTTATTTTTCAATCAGTTTCTTGTTAAAATTTTCAACTTTTGTTGGTGGGGTTATGTGATTTTGTATTTTTTTTTTTTTTGGGAAAAAATATGAAGCTTTTAGTAAGAGTAATTGAAGCAAAGAACATACCAGCAATGGACCCAAATGGATTTAGTGATCCATATGTGAAATTATCATTAGGAAAACAGAAGTTTAGAAGTAAAGTAGTGAAAAAATGTTTGAATCCATCTTGGTGTGAGGAATTTGCCTTTAGAGTTGATGATTTGAAAGAGGAGCTAATTATTTCTGTTTTGGACGAAGATAAATATTTCAATGATGATTTTGTTGGACAAATTAAATTTCAAGTTTCTCAGGTTTTTGAAGCTAATGATAAGTCACTTGGTACTGCTTGGTATACTTTGCAACCTAGGCATAAGAAGGCCAAAAATAGAGATTGTGGTAAGTTGTTTACTTTTGTCTTTCTTTTTATTATTGATATTGATGATTTTTTGATTTTTTTTTTTGGGCTTGAATGTTTAAGCTGATTTGGATGAGAAATGTTTCTATATTTTTTAGAATATATGATCTTTTTGATGATGGCTTATGTGGTTGCATACTGTGAGTTTTAGTCACGTTAGCACTTTTACACTACGTCCTATGCTTTTCTAGTAGTTGTATTTTGTATAATATTGGCCTCGAGATGAGTTTAAATGGAGTAACATGGTCAGTGAGAATTCATAGCTGACCTTAACTTGTTTATTCATATAACCGACCTCAACTTGTTTGGGATTGGCGTGTGGTTGTTGTTGTTGTTTCAAGTATTTCTGACTTTCCGTTGCATGTTATTAGCAACAAACGCTTCTTTCAACTAGTCGAGATGTTTACAAATTACAGATATATATTGGGCTGCGTCTGCCCGTACCATGGCATCTTAAAGATGGAAATACCAACTTTATTGAATGATCTTTGATCGAATTCAATGTATCAATGAAAAATGGCATTTCTTTTGTGGTTTGCACAGGTCAGTTGAGGATTTAATTGTGTTCTTCCTTTCTAATAGGTCAGATTCTTCTCACAATATGTTTCTCGCAAAGCAATACATTGGCGGACTTGCAGTCCGCTGGTGATCATGGACCACCGTCGAAGAGGTTGTCTGATGTGGCAACTGAACCTCCTTCTTTGTCTTCCAATGGCCCCTTGAGATCATCTTCTCCTCTGAGATCCGAAGAAGCAGCCTCTTCTAAGGAGGAAAAGCCTCAGGCGCAGACCTTTGCTGGTCGGCTTGCCCAAATTTTCAACAAGAATGGGGATGCAGTATCCGCGACTAACGTGAAAGCTCCAGATATAACAGTGACACCTGAAAGTGCCAGTACAGCAGCTTCTGAGAATGCGCAAGAGGAACAGTCCACATCGGGAAACTTTCAAGAACTAATTAAAAGCATGGAGGCAAGAGAACAAGGAAGCGAAGTTTCAAACCTTCCTGGAGTAGTAGTCGATCAATTGTATGCTATTGCCCCGCATGAGTTGAATTCATTCCTGTTTTCACCGGATTCAACCTTCTTTAAATCCTTAGCAGATATTCAGGGATCCACGGAGTTGCGTATTGGACCTTGGAAACTTGAAAATGGTGGTGAGAGTTTAAAAAGAGTGGTCACTTTTACCAAAGCTGCAAGTAGATTGGTCAAGGCTTTAAAAACTACAGAGGACCAAACGTATCTTAAAGCTGATGGGAAGTCTTTTGCTCTTTCAGTTATTGTGAGTACCCCGGATGCCCCATATGGAAGCACTTTCAGGACAGAATTGCTTTACAACATTACTCCTGGTCCTGAGTTGCCTTCGGGAGAACAGTCTTCGAGGTTAGTAGTGTCGTGGCGCATGAATTTCTTGCAAAGCACTATGATGAAAGGCATGATAGAAAATGGTGCACGGCAAGGTATTAAGGAGAGCTTTGAGCAGTATGCAAATTTATTATCTCAGAATGTAAAGCCAGTTGACGCAAAGGACATAGGTTCAGAGAAAGAACAGGTTTTGGCATCTCTAGAAGTGGAGCACCAGTCCGATTGGAAGCTGGCTTTCCAGTATTTTGCTAATTTTACTGTAATATCAACCTTTTTCATTGGGATATATGTGTTTTTGCACATCTTGTTGGCCATGCCTAGCACAATACAGGGGCTTGAGTTTGTTGGTCTTGACTTACCAGATTCTATTGGTGAGGTAATTGTGTGTGGAGTGCTAGTACTTCAAGGAAAACGGGTGCTGGAGCTGATATCACGCTTCATGCGAGCTAGGGTACAAAAAGGTATACTATTATTAGTTTCCTGTTCGGTTAAAGATGGTACGAAGAATTCATCAAAATTCAATATATATTATCCAGACATCAGAAATAGGTGTTTTCTCTCGGTTCCTCATTCTGAGCTGTCACAGCATGTTTGCTATGGATACCATGTGTGGTATACATTGTTTTTCCAAGGTTTTGATGTGTTGTATTGTCGATACTTTTACCAGGAAGCGACCATGGTATCAAAGCACAAGGAGATGGTTGGCTGTTGACTGTTGCCTTGATTGAAGGAAACAATTTGGCAGCTGTTGACTCAAGTGGCTTCTCTGACCCATATGTGGTGTTTACATGCAACGGGAAAACTAGAACCAGCTCAATCAAGTTCCAAAAGTCTAATCCCACGTGGAATGGTATATTATCTTTTGGGGGTTCTATTGTCTTTATTTGAAGTTCTATAGTTGCCGTCATTTGAGCATTTATACAAGATCGTTTCCATTGGTTTTGATTAGTGGTTTGAACCTCGTTACATGCAGAAATATTTGAATTTGATGCAATGGATGAGC